GCTGGGGGGAAAGCTGGCAGGATCTGTATCTTGTAACCTAACGGAAAAGTGACCAATTCCAGGGATGCCTTTTTCTCAGTCACAGGCCAGCCATATTCAGCCCTGTCCCCCTCTCCTACCTCTGAATTCTGGGAATGACACATGTGGCGAGGGTAAGGAACACAGTAGCCAGGGCCTCAGCCCAGAGCAATCCCTTCCTCTTTGGAAAAGTGCATCCAAAGCCACTGAACATGCACTCATTTATTGTTACTGAATGTCTGCTCTGTGTGCCAGTCTATTCTCAAAGAACTTACAGCCCAGTGTAAACAGATGGACAGACTATGGTGGGATAAGCGTTACAGGAGAAAGGCATGGATGTTTTGAGATCATAGAAAGGGCCATCTGACCAGCCTGCAGGGGGCAGTGGGGGAAGCTTTCCAGAGGAGGTGACCCCTGAGTTGGTTCAGAGGGAGATGAAGACTGGCCCAAGCGAACCATTCAGAGGAGGACTCAATGGAAAGAGGAAGAATGATAGAGGACAGACAAGTGTAAAGTCACGCAGGCCAGAAACTCTCTGCCATGCCAGGAAGTGCCAGCGTTTACCTGTTGCCAGGATGCAGTTCTAGAAGGAGAGAGAAGTGGCCAGGTAAAGCCAGACAAGAAGGTAGGGGCTAGCTGTGGAAGACTTTTGCGTGACTGGTCAAGTCAATTCAAGCTGTTTAGGCAAAAAGGAATATTTTAAGAGTTTTAAGCAAGGGATTGACATGTTTAGATTTGGACTTTAGCCAGCCAGCCTTGGCCGCCTTACACTGGAGGAAGGACTAGAAGGTGAACTTGGGACCTCAGAAGCCAGTTAGGAGGTTCTTGGTGGTGTAGGTGAGAAACTATTGGGGTGTTTCTGGTGGGAAAAGCACAAATCCTCAGACTGAGCATCATTTCCTTTGAGCCTGGGAGAGAGCACAGAGCTCTGTAGGTAAGACATCACAGGTTTTATGCACCTGGTGCAGCTGAAAATACCCTGCTATGCATTTTATGATCAATTTGTACCTTAGCATCTTTATATATTTGGCAATTGACTTACTGTATTTACCTACCTGTTTCTTTGCTGAAAATCAACAGCTGTGGCACAGAAGCAGTTACGACTTGCCATTGTCAATAAAGCCTCCCAGGATGTGCCTGTGCTCGAGTCCCTGGCTGGAATATTTGGTCATGTGGAAGCAAGACAGGGAAATAGGACAGGTTTGGTAACTGGCTCCTTGCTGCCATCTCCCCAGCTGCCATTTGCATGTGGAGGACACATGAAAGTGAGTTCTATGGTGCCTTCCAGCTTCAGAGCTTCAAAGCAAGACATCCCTGTGATTGTGTGCCAGCCCTTTCATAGAGCACTGACCCAGCTCACAGCACCACCCCCAGCTGGCCTGGTCTGGGAGGACTTACAAGTCCTTTTGCAAGGCCAGCTGTACACTGCCTGCTTCTCAAGAAACCGTGATGCAAGGGGGTCTGTGGTAGAGTCTCTTCTTACAGCTTTTCCATGAAAGGAGAGGTTTGGTCCTGCCCTATCACAGTATCTGTGAGCCATCAAGATGAACACCTCACAGGTTCCCGTGGTGCCGTTCTTCAGGTGTTGTTTATTTATTTATACAACCCTCTACCATTTGGGGCAGGGCCCTGGTGACTGCCCCTGGGGCTGGGAGTAATTATGGCATTCTGCAAGCAGGTAGCACACTCATCACGTTCTAGCCGTCTTCCCTGGCATTGCCTTTGATCCTGCTTTTTGCTGGGAAAGTAGCCATTAAGAGATGTGATTCTTTGGTTTCATTTACATGAGAAAAAAGAGAACTAAATTGGCAAATGGATGTTTTCATGTTCTCAGAGATCACCTCCACCCAGTCTGTGTCCAGAGTCCTCAGAGCCACCCAGGAGAGCACCAGTCCCTGACCCACATTGCCATAGAGCCACTGGAGGCCTGGGACTGAGACACTACCCTTCAGAGGAAGGCACCCAAGGTGTGCACTCAGGTTTAGGAAGATGTTCTTCCTTCTTTTCCTTTTATTTATTTATTTATTTAGTTAGTTAGTTAGTTCATTAAGCAAATGAAAGGACTTTGGTGGGTTTCTGAAGTATTCATGATTATATAATTTTTTTTCTATTACATGAGAAATAAAAACTTATTTATGAATATCTAAAGACTAGTGAGAATAAAAATACTCCACAGGTTACCCATAACTCCATTGTCCTAAAATATCTAGAATGTTGACAAATTTCCTTCTATCATCATCATCATTATTCATAGAAGTTTTTGGTTAAACATAATTGCTTTTATGCTATACTTCCAATTGGGGCCTTGCTTTTTTCCCCTTTAATACATTTTAGTAATTGCACAATGCTTCATCAAGTAATAGATCCAAGTGTATTTATCAAAATTTCTGTTAGATATTTAAATTATTTCTAAGTCACACTGTGATAATCAGCTTTACATAGCTTTTCTTTTTTCCATTTTGGAATTATTTTTCTTTGCACAGATTCTGAGACGTGGGACAACTGGGTCCAAGGATTGAATCATTTTGTGCTTCTGATACAGTTTCCATATTCCTCAAATTCTTTCCTAAAAGGATTTTTGTCTGTTTATGCTCTCATCAAGAGTGGCACACTCTAGCACTGGGATTCTCAGATTTATTATTTAAAAGTGATCATTAAATAGTTGGAAGAGGCTGTCACATTATAGTGCTATTTCCTCTCTCTCTTTCCTTCTCCATCTTTTCTCCCTCCCTCGTGATTTCTACTGAGGCTCAAGAGTTGTCCATCTTTTATCAACAGTTGACCACAGGGCCCTAATGCCCTAAACTAGGCTTCCAGAAGTTCCCAGCACCCAGGAGGTACCTCTCTGCAAGGCCTCTGAGACGCTAAGGCCTCTTCATATCAGAGAAGTTAGTAGTCTTCACATCTGGAAAATGAGGTGTTGCATGCCTAAAAGCCTTGTTTAGCTCTCATGTCCTAAAAGTCTGCTTCTGCAACCACCTAATTATATGACCTGGTCTGGTGGGAGTCCCATGTGTCTTGGGCATATTTTGGACTACCTGTTCTTACTGCACCTTTGTGGTCCTATACCAGCTTCTAGACTAAGAAGGATGGAAAGCTGTTTGTGTGCCATGATTCCATAAGGAACCACCCCAGATTTGGCTTCTCTCATTTCCTCTTACTGTGACAGCAGAGAACCCTAAGCCTAGTTCCACTTGAATGTTGTGGGTTGTAATGACAAACTAGTTTGGTCTGTGTGGCAAAGCTCTCTTATCCACTTGGCCACAGGGTTAAGTTCATGTACTCCTGGGCATTCAGGTTTCTTTCCCAGAAGTAATCAGAGCATCTCAAGTTCAACTCATCAACAAGCTGGTTCTGCACCTGGCCAAGGACCTCACCACATGGAGGTGGTCCTAGGAGGGGAGGAGACCCACCCTGAAGATGTGTAGAGACTGATGGAAGATGAGGGAGATTGAAATGGTGACCACGCTCCCAGGCCCTGACACCCCATTTCCTACACTTCTAATTCTATGCCCCCTTCCCATTCTAATACCCTTCCCAGCAAAATGAACTGATACAGTCCCTTTTGTGAGTTAAGCAAAGTTGATGTGGACGTTCCCTAGCCACTTGTAAATAATCCCCACTTAACATAGCAGCTGTGAATACTTTTCCCGTTCATTCCTAATTGAGATGCTTTCAGATTTATCCTATCTTTTGTGTGAAGTTTTCCTTTTGAAATTTTGTAGATTAACAGGAGGTTGCCCTAATAGAGATTCCATGCACCCTTCACTGGAATTCTCTCCGTGGTGACATGCTACATAATTATGGTTCAGTATCCAAACCAGCCAGCTGACATTAGTGTAATGCACAACTTCAATTTTTTTATTATTTATTTATTTATTTATTTATTTTTTTTCTTTATTTATCTGAGAGAGAGAATGGGAGACAGAGAGCATGAGAGGGGGAGGATCAGAGGGAGAAGCAGACTCCCCGCTGAGCAGGGAGCCCGATGTGGGACTCGATCCCGGGACTCCAGGATCATGATCTGAGCCGAAGGCAGTTGCTTAACCAACTGAGCCACCCAGGCGCCCCTATTATTTATTTTTTTTAAGATTTATTTATTTATTAGAGTGAGCACGAGTGGGGGAGGGGCAGAGGGAGAGGGTGCGAATGTCAAGCAGACTCCCCATTGAGTGCAGAGCCCGATGATGTTGGGCTCAATCTCATGACGCTGAGATCATGAAGCTGAAACCAAGAGTCAGAGGCTCAACTGACTGAGCCACCAAGGTACTGCTGTTTTTTATTTTTTAAAAGAGTGCCTAGCTGTGCTTATAGGTATAGGTTAGAACCTAAATATTGCACCTGATGAGGAAGAAAGGCACAGGACAATTATGTTCAGGTGTGACATGTAAAACCTGGGCAGGTGCTTTTTGAGTGCTGGCTATGTTCCAGTAAATCAGGCACTGGACACATGTTACCTCCTAAGCCTCATGACAACCCTGTAAGCCCACTGCTAGCATCAGGATTCCTTTTACAGAGAGCAGGAAACCAAAGCTTAGAGCAGAGCTAGAGTTTAAGCCCACACAGCCTGTTTTCAGAGTGTTCTGCCTGAGCATTATGCAGTGTGATTAACAGTGGAGGATAGAGTTTTTCCTAAGCCTTTCTGGACTGGACCTTTCCTCAACATCCCACTCTTCTTTCCCCCTTTTGCCCTCTTCCTCTGTCATGGCCACTTGGGCTCCTGAGGTGAACCGCTGTTAACAGCCATATTTATGGCTCTCTCAGTCTGCATTCCCTGGACGCACCCCTCAGGAGATGCCACACCCCTGTATGTAGCAGGTGGGGCCAGAGGGGAGGCTGTCTTCAAAAATTGTTGATTGTAGCGTGCCACGGTTCTGGCCTCACTCTCTAGGATTGCTTCTTGGTGGTTTAGTGCTGGAAAACAACAACAACAACAACAACAAAAACCCAAACTGCCAAAACAAAAACAGGAGAAGAGAGCCTTGCACAGCAGAGGAACACGTTTACTTGTCAGTTCATGGCTTCAGCTTTCAGCACAAGATGGTGAACATGGTAGAGTTGTTGGACGTAGTGGGTTGAGTGGTACCCATGTGCCTCACTCTGGGGGTGGGCAGGGAGGTGGGCATTTAGGAGGACAGGGCTTGGAACAGGGCTTGGGGGGACAGGGAGCTGGGCATGGAGGAGGGCACGGTGGGGGGCACAGTGATGGAAACGGTGGACACTTTGGTGGTGCTGGGCACTTTTCCCGGGGGCACTTTTCAGAGCACCGTTGCAGCAGCTTCTTTAAACAGCTGGGCTGACATTTGGCTTCACACTTTTGTTCACACCTGGGATCACAGTTCTTGGGCTCATTCTTGGGTTCACTAGATTTATTTTTATCATCGCTCGACATTCTTTGATTTTCTGGGCCCTATAAAGAAACATGCAACAGGTCATATGTGGGAGACCACACTGCAAGGTGGGAGAGGACCAGCAAGGCTTCCTATTCACACCTCCTGCCCATCTTTGCTTTTATGAAAAACTTTCCTGGGATGGTTCGGGCTCTAGACCAAATTCTCATTTAAGGGCTGTCCTCTTGTCCTTGGAGTGGATTGGTGACAACGTTTCTTGGTCTCTTCACACTTACCCTGCTTTTTGTTCACTTACACTTGTCTTAATTCCATATCCCCCAGCAGGAGTTTTCAACCGAGGGTCCGGGAATTGCCCGCCGCCCCCATGATAAAACCATATTTAATCATATGTTATCAATATAATTGGTATCTTTTGCAACTCCATGTCTTTTAATTAATTCATTTAAGTACATTGTTCTGAAGTCATGAATTTGGTCAGACTGCTAAAGGCATCCATGCCACAACAAGGGTTTTAACAATTCCTGCAGGGTTACCTCCCTAACCCTCTGGAGATGGAATGAGAGGGTATATTAGTGGGTTTAGGGACTCAGGACACTTCTTTCATTCCTGTGTCCTCCCTACACCCTCAGAGCCTTGAGAATTGCTTTCTTCACTTGAAAACTGGGGATGGGAAGCTAATTGAATCTCTACCATGGCTGGACTCCCATAGGTCACTCTGTGACTCCTCCCCATGATTAGGGTAAGGGAAGAACTCAGGAGAGGAGGAGATGAACTGGGAAATTCTAATTCCTCTGAAAATATGAATTTGAGATCCACAAAATATGATTTTAAGGAAGAATTTTTTTCCTCCTCTGTTAAGTTTTGCCCTGAGTTAGGTTTTCTGTGGATGATTTGACTTCTAGATATGAGCAGGGCTTCTCAGTACCTGACAATGCTTGCAAGTTGTATCTAACTGGCACTCCTTTAATTTCCCTTAACAATATAAAAGTAAAAGTTTATCTAATTTAGTTTTAAAAGCAATATGGCTCCCTGGAGAAATAAATCATTAAGTTAAACTCCAAAATTGTTACGAATCTCTTTCAAATGAGGCATAGCCCAGTTCTTGTTACTGAAAATGAAAGGAAGCTTTCATTCAAAAATATCCATCATCTCAACCCTGTTCAATGCCTGGGGTACTTTAAGTCACTCTTAGGAAAGGAGAGGAAAAAGACAGGGCATTTGCAGTTGTCCAAATGCAACTCACCCTTTTGTGTTGGTAGTGAACTTGACAAGTAGTCGAGTGAGATGGATGGTATTGCTGTGTGTGAGAAGGTGGATTTTCCCTCTGGTTCCTCTGCCTAGCTCTGAGAAAGCCAAAGGTGGGGGGTGGGGAAGGGGAGCCCCACTTGTGACCTCATCACTACATCATCAGGTGTCGATTGTTGTGTGACTCCAGAGCTCCCAGCTCAACTCAAGCCCTTGAGAATAAACTGTGCTTAATCACCCCCCTTTGCTGTCCTGTTCCCTCTCAGGGTCACTCAAAATTCATGCTGGTGAAATCAGACCATGATGAAGGTTACTGAACTCTAAGGATAGGGAGGTTCATTGTTGCTAGGAGCAGAAAAGCTCTGTTTACATGTGGTCTCTCTTTCCCCCCAAATTTTAACTCCTTTGAACTTGCCCCTTCTCCACCTTTCTAAGAGAGCTTCCCAGATTGCTCACAGCCATTTTGATTCTCTTCTCCCTATTTTTTTTTTTAAAGATTTTATTTATTTATTTGAGAGAGAGAGAATGAGAGAGAGCACATGAGAGAGGGGAGGGTCAGAGGGAGAAGCAGACTCCCTGCCGAGCAGGGAGCCCGATGCGGGACTCGATCCAGGGACTCCAGGATCATGACCTGAGCCGAAGGCAGTCGCTTAACCAACTGAGCCACCCAGGCGCCCTCCCTATTTTTCTAGTATCAGATTCTGAAACCTCTTTTTACCACTCCACACAACCTAGCCAAAGTCCAGGGATTATTTTAGCTCCTTTTCTGTGTTTCTGCCTATAACTCACTAATTGTTGTACTTTGCAATTGTTTATTCAACCAGGGAGTGGCACCCCTTGATATCCAAGGTAAACCCTGCTTACCATAAAGAACTTGAGTCTGATGCCCCTGACCAGTTCTGACATACTGGGTTAACCCCAGATCCTGTTTTAGAGTAGAAAGGTTTGCCTCTGAGAAAGTTCCTTCCTTGCCTTTTCAAAGGCCTGGCCAGTGGGTCTCTGTGGTTGGAGCAGGGATGTGTCTGGGGTGGTAGGAGGAGGTTGGTGTGGGAAAGACAAATGGGGTGGAATACATAGTGCCTTAAACTCAGGAAGTTCATCTTGGCAGTCACTTACTACCAGCCACAAGTGACTTTTGGTTAAAATGGTGAAATGATCACATCTAAAGTGTTGACAGAAATTTCTGACAGCAAAGGGTGGGATGGACTGGGAGATGGGGCAAAAGCTGCACTAGCCCATTTCAAAGAGATTATAAACATCTCCAAGTCTGAAGGAAGGCAGTGGTGGTGGTAGTGAAAGGGTGCTGATAAGAGAAGTATCACCAGAGAAGCATGTTTATGGGTAATGGGAAACTTAGACGAAAATTATGAAAGATGACTTCCAGGTATTATTTTTAATGGGTGCTGAGGAAACAGAACAGATTTATGTTAGAAGAGATGAGTTTAAGTCTGAGCATGTTGAATGTGGTCGCAGTGGAACATCTTGAACGGTTATTGGAAATGTGGCTCCAACTCTGTGCCACTGAGCAGACTGAGACCTTGAATTTGATTCAGTACAACAGGTGTTTCCTGAGTGGATAAGGATGAGAGAGGGTTGGAAGAGAGAAGAGAAAAGGTACTGGGGAGGATGGGGAACCACAGTTTAGGGTTTATTTGGTATTTACAAAGGAGAAAGAATGTCATACACAATTGAAACCCAAATGAACCCAAATAAAAGGGGAGAGTGGGCCAGAATTTAACTCCCTGCCATCAGGATAACTGGTATTTAGACCCATTGTATTGGTACAGCCTACCCCTCAATACTCATTTTCTTTGCTCTATACTTTTCATTGTTATGAACTCTAGTTCTTCAAAGCTGTTGAGAAGCAGTTTCTGTACTCATTTCAAGAGACTCAGCTCCACCTACTGTTCAGCTCTGGACCAAAGCTAGCCATCTGGCCATGGAGAAGGCAGTTATTTGTGATGGTGATGTCAAAAGATGTGGTGATTTGAGGGCACCTGGGTGCTGCAGTCAGTTAAGCATCTGACTCTTGGCTTCGACTCAGGTTGTGATCTCGGCATCAGGAGATCAAGTCCTGCACTGGGCTCTGTGCTCAGCTGTATTCTGCTTACGACTCTCTGCCCCTCCCTGCCATGTGTGTGCTCTCTCTCTCTCTCTCAAATAAATTAATCTTAAAAAAAAAAAGGAAAAATAGATGTGGTGATTTCTACTGGCCTTTGTCTGCTGTCCTCTTCTTCTCTCTCCTTTCTTCCCTCTTCTATTTCTTGCTCAAGAAATTCCCACTGAATGAAAGTGTATCATCCATTGGACTTTCACCAGGACATTTGTCCATCATCTTTTCAGTCTTTAAAACCCTCCTTTAAAGGCCAAGACTCCTGGCAGTGTTATGTTAATCTCCTGGCTATCACCCTCACCTTTGGCTCAGTGTTTGGTCAACAGCATGGCTGGCAGCAAGGCATACTGAGGTGAACACAGAACAGCTTCTGGAGCTGCTGGGTCTCAGAGGGAAAGAGGTTGGAAGGGGAGAAGAATGAGTGTCAAAGCCACTAGATTAAGAATGAGGACACTGGAGTCAGATCTCTAGGTTCAAATCCCACCTTCATTTTTTACTTACCAATGTCCCCTGGTAATTGATTTCACTTTCTAAGTCTCAGTTCCCTCATCCATAAAATGTGATAATAATAGCACTCATTATAGGACAATATGTAACTCATATTGAGTGCTTACAATATGCCAGGCACATTTCCAAGTGCAAAGCCTACACCCTACACTCTCACTGTACCCATAGTTTGCTGGGAAGATTGAATGAGATTCTATGAATGAAGTACAAACTTCTAGGACATTTTGTCCTCATCATGATTTATCTGACCCTCCCAGCCTGTTAGTAAATGTTTGCTGTACATGTGAGTTACTATTTTTGTCAGTGCTTTGCTGACCCTTTCATCCCTTGGCTTGCTGAATCTCCCCTTGCTCCCCTCACCATATCTTGGCCCTGATATCCCACTTCTCCATATCATTTTTTTTCTGCCTTCCAGCCAAAGTTCCTGATGGAGTTCACAGGAATATTAGATAAGCAGACCATTCAGTGGTTTATCTGTGTGAGCCTGCAGGGTCTGTATGCCTACATATTATAACAGACCAGGGAATTCTATGTGTCAGCAGTTTAACTTCACTTGGACCCCCCTCTCTGTTTTTTAGGTGAAGTCTTCTTTTTCTGTCTTTTTCTATCTCTGTGTAATTCCTGTTGAATAAATAGTCCTCACAGGATAAAGTCAGAAAGCAACTCTACTACTCCCATTGGTGCCTCTTAAGACCCTCTCTGTGAGGCTGGTTCTTCCTTCTGGGATGGAATCTCTAGCATATGCTAGACTTGTAGGATCATGGTTAGACAATAAGTTCTCTAGTCACTTCTATTTATTCTAAACAATCTTATTTCAGTAATTAGAAGGTATATTTCCCTGAACATTGGATTTCCTTCTCTTTCCCTCTGGGACCAGAAAGGAAAACTCTTCTCTATTTGCTTTTTCGAGTTTCTACTCCTCTTCCTTCATCTGCCCAACTGCCCCTGGTTTCAGGAAAGGGGCTGGAGAGGGAAGAGGCAGAAGGGACAGGAAAGTTCTTACCTGAATGATATTTTTCTGGTGTCCTGATACCTAGGAGTTTTCTGGGCTTGGCAGGTGGTTAAAGCTGATCTTTTCTCTTGTGGGGAATTTAAATGTGTTCTTCAGAGGACCTTGTCACCCCTCATTGAGCTGTTAAGCACAGTTCTGATTGTGTATAGCTCCTACAGCACCTAGGCTTTTGGCAGCTCCCCTCCAGCTTCTCTCTGCTGCAATTATCTCCCCTCCAGGCAGCCCTATTGGATAGGATTTCACATGGCACAGAGAGCCAGCTCTCCCTCTCTTGTGGGCCACATGTGGCCCATGGAAAACAGTCATAATCCTCCCCTTTCTTTGTTCAATTACTCTTAGTGATGTTTTCCTGATGTTTATGGATTTTTGCTCATTCACTGTGTATTAGGTGAGGGAAGTCTATGGCATCTTCATGGACATGGTTCTGTATTGATCCAGTTTGTCCTTACTGCTATATTTGACACTCTTATATTCTTTTTCACCCCTCTCACCTTGGGTTACTCTAATACCTGGATGGTGGCCCATTTCTCTGGCCTCATCTACCCTCCTTCATGACCTCTTCCTCCTCTGCTCAGTCCTTTCAACTTCACCTGGCTTCATTCACCTGACACATTGCTGCTGACCTCCTTCACTACCACTGTTTTCTACCACCTCTATGCCAAAGAAATCCAAAGCCCACACTCTTCCCTTTTCTCCAGGCCTAAATATTAACATTCATTGGATATATTTTGGCACCTTAAACTGATTTCACAAAATTAGAATTCGTCACCTACCACATCTTTTCTTACATGCTGTCTTGTTCATTCCAACTCTGCAAGGCGTGTTCCCATATACTGAGACCTCCAGACCAGAAACCCAAGATCACCCAGCCTCCTATCTCCCACTCAGCCCTACACCAAACGAGCTAGCAGCACCTGCCAGTTCTATCTCCCAAACCACAGGCTCATGCCCCAGGCTGGTATTGGGAGCCATGGTATGCACCTCTCTCCAGCCAGCCCCCCATCACCTTCATGGTAACTGCTGTGGCTTCATTGAATTTGTCATTGTCACAGGTCTCCCAAAGTGTCCCAACTCTAATTCATCCTCCACAGCACCCTTATAGCTAATTTTAGAATATAAACCCCAATTTTACCATCAAATTGAAGACAAGGCCCAACAATCTCAAAAGCTGGGTCTACAAAATTTTGTCTCAGGTTTTCTTTTCTTTTTTTTAATTTTATTTTATTATGTAATGTTAGTCACCATACAATACATCATTAGTTTTGATGTACTGTTCCATGATTCATTGTTTGTGTATAACACCCAGTGCTCTATGCAGTATGTGACCTCCTCAGTACCCATCACCAGGCTAACCCATCCCCCCACTCCCCTCCCCTCTAAAACCCTCAGTTTATTTCTCAGAGTCCATAGTCTCTCATGGTTCATCTCTCCCTCTGATTTCCCCCCTTTCATTTTTCCTTTCCTT